CAACTGTGCTGTCTCTGCTGGCACAAACACCTGCCTGCTGGCACACACTGCAAACAGCTGTGTGTTGAAAGGGACCAACGTGGGTCTCTCTCTCCGTCCTTAATCGAAACAAAGGGACAGGTAGTTTCCATGCTTGCCGCTGGTCACTCTTGGCAACAGCAGAGCTACATTTCTGCCTCCCTCCAGAAAAAGCAGCATGGGACATATTTACATATTTCACAGGCACCTGACCAAAAGGAATACATTATCTCAAATAGACACGCAAAGTGATGATGTGTGTAAAAGGAGGATTAGGGGTAATGATGGAGAAGGTAGGGAGTATAAATTCAGAGGGAAACCAGAGCACCAGACAGATATGTGGAGCATCAAAAAGCACTTAAATCTGCCAATAAACGGAGACATGCTTTTAAAATAATGCAGGACATTACATTTAAGAGGGACCAAAAGCCTATTTTTTAAACATCATTTACCAAATCACTAATTCATGACGTCAACTTAGGATGTTCTTGAACCCCCATGATTTGACAATCTGTTAGAATGTACATTATCTGTACTGGGACTTTCAATGACATTTATTTCATAGTAAGAGGACTTTAACCCTTAGAACAACTAGAATCGGAAGCGCAGCACAAACAATCATACCACATACATCTCTTCCAGACTACGGTGTTTAATAGCTGCCTCCATTAAACAAACACACTGAGAGGTTGTGACCTCTATTATGCCAGCCTGTAACCATAGCAACCATAGGGGAGAGAAGTACCTGACAGGAGCAAACTAGACGGAGCACAAATTAGATGGGCTAAAGAAAGGAACAAGCAACAGCGAGCGTTGCATAGACATGATTGGATACTTGTGATTTTTACAGTCAAATGTTTCTGACATAATTATTTCTTCCTGGGAATAAACTGTGACATGTTGCTACCTGAAGACGGAATAGATCTTTAAATATGAGGTAAAGGAGCATGAATGTGTGGTAACAGGTTGCGAGCGAAACACAATCCTGCCCTGTCCTAATAACTGATTGTTTGCTGATAGTCAACGTGGCCACTAGCTTCTGGTAAAAATCAAGTATTTCACTTTGTCAGTGTGTCTCTATGGTGCTTATTAAATGCTGGAAGATTGGTTAAATAAGCAGTCAATGCCACAGCTGAGCATTTCCGCCCTAAAACTGTAACATAGATTCACAAAGGCACTGCAAAATCACAACGTGCCACTATGTAGCATAGAGGAGTTATTAACGTATTAGAGCAGACTCATAGGTGAGCTGGTGTGCTTTAACTGCACATGGGTTGGTGGAAAGACAAGCAGTGACTTCATTTTCAAGAAGGCAACAGTGTAGGGTTTCACTTAAGCCATTTTAAGGAGCGAAGGGAGCAATTTCAAGGAATAATCATCTTAATATGTGACTCTGATACACAGAGATAATTTTGTAGAGGTTTAATCCATGACTGGATGGTGCGAGGTGGTTTAGTGGTACTCTAAAACAACTTCGGCAAGGTTCTTGTTTTTCTATCTGTCTCAACATGATGGTTCCTGTTTGTAAAATACAATAGAACACTGTTTAAAAATGAATGACACATTTGCAAAAGAACAACTCCACCTGCTGCGTCCACTCTGCCCATCTTCCTCTGTGGACGGCCTGATGCTAAACACTCTACGTGGGTGGGATGGAGAACGACTGACAAAACAAACAGAGTGAGGCAGACAGGTGCAGTCGCTGCTCCAATTTTGTAAACTCTCAGCTGTACACACCTAAAACGCCCATTGCTGGAGTCAGCATTTGCTGTTTTCCAGTGTCACTAATTCTTATTTTGTCATTAGTTTACATATGACACAGATGCACTAATACAGCAGAGACACACCTACTGTAAGCTTGATATCATCACTAGATGGGCGTCCACATGGGACGCTGGCACCTGAACAACAACCACAGTTAGAACAACTTTACTCTGCAGTGATAAATGCAATTACACTCATAGTTATTTCACTTTCAGTTTTATCACAACAGAAAGTGCACAGACAAAATGCAACCACCGAAGATTCCTTTAGAGCCGACAGTAATGACTAAATGCTTTAGGACGAAAATTGTCACGACAAAATGATCTTTCAGTGAAATTCAGAATAATGACGGTGTCTTTTCTGAGCGCCCACTCTCCTCTTCCATTCTTAAATTTTCTGTCCTCCTTTCTCCCAGATTTCAGTACTCTCACTTACAGCAACTGTTGCTAGGCAACAGCTCACACCCACCCATATGCATATTAATACTTACATCACAACAATACAGTCAATGAAAGAGAAATATATATATAAATTGGAAAAGGATCCAGGGATATATTCTTTAAATGTAAAGCAATTAATTACATTTCCTTCAGCCTGTTATAATTTTTAACAAGAATTTTAGATGAATGTGTTCCACAGCGATGTGTCTGTGTGTGTGTGTGTGTGTGTATGGTAATGTGCTGTGCTTAAGACCGCTTATCAAAATCTCATTGAGTCAGTTGGTTTTAGTTTATATTAATAATTTTGCCTCAAACATTCCCTTCAAACACAGCTCTGTTTGCTAAACCCAATAAGACCACAAGCAAGATAACTTCTGTGGACCGAGTGCAGACAAGTCAGAAACTGGAGCGGCGGTGGCAAACATCTTACAGCAATGTGCCCCAAGGAAATCAGATAACAACCATTTAATACCAGCAACTATAGGCAGGTGCACAGGGCTGGAGTCATTACCACATGTTTTGTTAAAGAATGAGTGAACGAACCAGGTGACTGCTGAATAAAGGGGCAGGTCAGAGAAGAATCCCGAACAAGAAGATGTGTGTTACAGATACGCAGACATACCTTCAAAATTCTTTCATGCTCACACAATCATGCATACACAAATACACCAGCGGTACAAGTTAAGACCTGCAGTGAGAGGGTGTGCATGAGCTGTTTTAGCAGCATGTGTGGGAAGACAGACAGGACTGGTTCTCTGCTCTTCCTACTCCTGTTTCTCCGCAATGACACAACATGGAATGGAAAATTCTGCAGTCTTTAGTGACCTGGATTAGTCGTGAAACACTGACATCAAACCCGCTGCTGTATGTGGAATACATTTCAGAACATGCCAATCTATAGGATCTGTGAGGATTGTCAAGCTACTGGGCTCTCAGGGACACTTCTCAAACTTTCCACAGCCAAAGCTAGTTGTACTTGATGGTCCAGAATGTCCTCAGGATTATTGTCTCCATCATCGCCTTCACTGCTTTCACTTCCACTGTTTTAACAGGCCTGGTTTTGTCACATGAATTGCCGTGGGACAATGCTGCCTTTATTTTCACTAGTTCTGTTGGTGTGTTTATGTAGCAGCATTATATCCTCATATAAAAGTGTGATTGAAACGGTCTTGCTAATTGGATAATGTTGTGTACATTGGGAAATGAAAATAAATATGTGTCTCGTGCTCTATGTAAATATTATATCCAAAACGTGATCAACACCACCACAACACTTCACAGAACTGTGAAACGGATCTACTGCATCATAGTTATGCATGTAAAGGACACACTGACCCCCATCATCATTCTTCATCATCTCCATCATAATTAGGATGTTGCACAACATGACTTGTTTCCTATTAACCAAGAAAACGGTAACATCAGTTTCCTTTGTGAGCGTTGGAATTTTCCAAACAACACTCTCCATAAGACCATGGGAAAGTGAACCGGGAGAGAAAAAAGGAAGTGTCTGAATGTGTGCTGCTTCTCTTTCTCTTCCTGACCTTCTGTTTCTCAGCCATCCATCACTGCCGAGGTGGGATTTAAGGAGCAGATTGGATGTCGGTCTCTCTTTTTTTCTTATGTCCCTGCTTATATACTCACTCAGATCTGTTAGTCTGTGAATGTATACAACATCACAAGAGAAATATAGAGGAAGAGGGAGAGAGAAGCAACAAAATGACAAACAGAACAGAACAGAGGGCAAACACAGATGCTGACATGGAGAAACAGAAGCGGAGGCAGAACAAAAAAAAAAATCTTGCTACTCAATGTGTCTTTGTCTGTAAACAGATTAAATGAACATTCTGCTCCTTTTTTCAGCAGAACACGTATCTGCAAACCCATCTAACTGACATAGTTAACAGGGGATCCCCGGCCTACTTGTCTCCTTTCCTTCTTCTCCCACTGGCCTACACAGGAGTGCAGCCAGACTGGCACGTGGACTGAGTAAGGCTACAAGCCTCCAGCGGGCGGGCAAAGGGGGCCGAACAGCTGGATCCGTGCCCAGGATACGAGCTCCGGTCCTGCAGAGAGCGTGCACTCCTCTCTCCCTGTTGCCTCTTTGCCAACCTGGACATCTACTACTACTGCTGCCTCCGCTGCAAGGGCATCTCCTCTCCAGTGTGCAGACAGCTGGTGACTGCAGGCCCTCCTCTGTACCAAATGTAAAGACTGCACCCAAACTGCACTGCCCACCCAGGAGGATCCCCTCCTTCATACACTCACAGCTAAGGAGTGTCCCTTATTAGAGGGTTAACAAAAGACATGATAGCAGCACTGAAAATCACTTTGAATTTCACATTCAAGCAAAATGGATCCTCACTGTGCGCGGCAATGAGAGTCCCTCCACACATATGCACAGAGCAAATTCACAACCCACATTTAAAAAAAAAAAATCAAACCATCACTCATGGAGCATTGACACTTTTTGAGGCAAATGCATCATAGTGCAAATAAATATCCAAATGGTGACATGTGGAAATGACAAGAAATTACTAAAGATTTGAGCAAAAATG